CCAGAAAAGTCGAATGACGTAGACCCCATGAGTATCTATGCAGCCTCTCAAATCCCATCACCACATAATGTATTTGCGCGGGATACGAACGTAAATACTCTGCGCCAATAACCAAACCCGCAATAATACACACGTAGACCAACCTCAACCTATCCTCGCGACTCCATTTGTTAGCAGACTTTATGTGAACATCCTTTATCATTTTCAGGGTTATTCCTGCATTACTCTCCAACAGATTGCTCCAGAATCCACCGTCTTTCTCCCAGGTTTCCCAGTTCTCGTTATTCGTCTCCCGGAACATGAAACCAGTAACTGCATAATACTCTTGCATGGAAAATCGAAGAGGTCGCTGTCCGAAAATGAACCACAGTTCGTGCTTCTTGTCTGTCATAAGCTGTTTGCCGAGAATGCTGTGGATCAGCCTCGCCGAATACCCAAGACCATTCTCATGCATCTTCACAATCGACCCAAAAACTGGATCTTGCAAAACTATCTTATACTCTGCTTCCAGGTACTGCTTAACGAGGCCAAAAATCGACAATGTGCAGTGGTTGTTAGTTTTATCAATTTCCGGTACACTTCCTGGCGTAAAAAATCGTTTAGGCAAGTCCATATCCAATCCTGCGAATAAGAAATAAAAGATTAAGGAAATGAGTAGCTATCTTCATACATAAAACATCACATAAACGAGATTAATGAGTAGCAATCAAAGACAATGATAAAAAAGGTAATTAACTATGTTCAACGCTTTTCATCATGAGAAAAACCCAAACCACGAAATTCCATGGACAAGGAAACAAAAAACACTACTTAACTGCACTTGAAAGAGGAATATCATCCAAGATTCAGACACGTTTATGAGAGATTCTTAAATAATAGGCTGCTTCAACTTCTATTCGATTTTGGCACCCAAAATAGCAGAACCAAATTCAGATTTTAAAGAAAACTAGGCACCCAAAATGAAGATAAGTAGCAGCATTCCACAAAACAATCAGAACAGTAGTAACAAGGCACTTGTACAATTATTTAACCTCTAGATTTAAACAAACGTAACTGATTTACAATATAGAAGACCAACGAACTGGAAAATTTCGATGATGCAAAGCTTGTCCATTAAGTCGAAAATTCCTAATTCCACCAAAATTCCAGAGACGAACATGTATAAACTTCTCATTGTAGAAACCCAAGCAATACCATAATCTAGTAAAATTTCCTAAAGTCTAATCCATCTAATTCTTCACCAAATCACAGAGCAAAAACAATTTGTAACTATAAATTCAGACCATAAATACACTTCAGCCTCTATCTCTCCCTAGCGCACACACTTTCTCACTCTGTTTTCACAAACTCAAATCTCTTTTTTCTCTTTTGGCTCAAATTTACAAACATAACATGGGTAAATTCTTGAGTTTGTTAGATTAATAGACACACACACACCCAGAACATCTTAACATAAGCTCTAATCTCCCATGTAAAATTCGAAATTGAATAACAACAAATCATGGGAAGCTAACAAAGAGAAGAAGAAAACAATTAAAAACCCAATTTCGCAATAGAACACTGTCAACAAAAGAACACATCTTTGACTTGGATTATAACCGTAATTGAACACATAAGTTAAGAGGAAGTCTTATTTGAGAAACCCAAGACTCAACGAAGCTCGAGCAACCCAGCACATGATTCCTCAAATTAATCAGAAATCAAATGCAAATAAAGAGCCTTTGAAAGAAGAGAGAAATCACCAATCTGGAAAAGAAGGAACAAGTACCTGAAAAGAGGTTTAAAAAAATATTCCAGCGAGAGAGAGATTGACAATCTGTCCACACAGCACTTGCTTGACTCACTTATTCCTCTTAGCGAGAGAAGCTATTGCATGCAGCAGAGAAAAGAAAAAGTTAAATTTGGGTTGATTCAAGAAAAATTTAGCGAGAGAAGCTATTGACAATCTGTTCTCTAAACCCGAGAATCACTATCCCTATACACAGAAAACCCAAATCGATTTGGGATTAAACAAACCCTAACATCCCAATCTATTAAAACGAAATTGCAAATAAGGAGGAAGAGGCGACTTACCCGAGTGAAGGTCCACCGGAGAGTACACCGGAGGAGAAGAAGTCAGCGGGGAAAGTTTTTTTTTTTTCTTCGTCGACTCCTAAAGTTTGTAGGAGGCGGATTCTACAAGAGAGATGTAAATTTTTTTTTAACTTTTTTGTTAAAAAGTTTATCTGATTAAAATAAATATTACAGTTTTTATTATATTGGGTAATTTCAATTTTAAGGGTAGAAGAGGATAAATAAGTTGTAGAAGGATTAATGGGACAATTCTCTAAATTAAAAGATTAAGGGGACAATAGTAGTATTTTTTTGTCTTATATTTTTAATTCTTTCTAAAAAAAATTAACGTAAACTTTGTTTCAGTCATGGCCCAAATTTTCTGGTAACATAGCAACTTTACGTAAATAGAGTTCAAGACATTTCCTAAATTTTCGTAATAAATTTTTGCATTAATACAGTAATTAACTTATTCAAGATATTTCGTGTCATTGCAATTATTATTCTTTTATGTAAACATTCTTTCATTTAATGGGAGATTTCTTGTGTAGGTACACCAAATATTGCACCAAATATGAAATAATTAAATTTCTTCCCATATTCAACAACAAAGTTAAACGAAGCAATGGCAAATGTATTATAATCGGTACATCACATATATTGTAATATATCGAAAGAATAAAATTTGTTCCCATATTCAAGCTTAGAGGCTATAAACAACCAAGTTACACAAAGAAATAATTTATTTCTTCTAGAAAAGCGATATTATAGATGATGAACTAAATTTTATGTCTTTTTGTTTTACCTAGATATTGTTGGTCATGTTGTTAACGTTGGCAAGATGGAAACACTTGAAGCCGCAAACAAACCAACAAAGAAGCTTGAATTTGAATTGAGAGATGAGAAGTTTGTCTTTTATTCTTAAAACAAATTTTTATCTTCTTACGAGAACATACTAATTTTACCTGTTTCAACAATGTAGTGATGAACGCCTTGGTTGTACTTTGTGGGGATCATTTGCTGAAAAAGTTTATGAAGCTTCTGAAAACGCCAATGGAGAGATGGTCATATGCCTGATCCGCTTTGCAAAAATCAAAGAGTTCAGAGGTAAACGACTTTATATAATTACTTCTTCTCATACTACATCCTAAATTTAACTTTTGTTACTATCAAATCTTACTCACTTCTATGAATCAGAAACGATGTATATCTCAAATGCCTTTGACGCTACTCAAGTTCTGATAAATCCTGAAGATCCTGAAATTGCCAAGTTTAAGAAGTCGTAAGTCAAGTATACAATTTTCGCTTTAAAAAAAAAAATACTTATTTTCAATGTTAATTTAAATACTGTTTTTGTGTGTAAATTTAGGTTACCACAAGATGGTCTTGCCCTCACTATCCTGGAAAGTAAGCCCAAATCTTTGTATGTACCCAAAGCTACAGAGGATTGGAAGCGTTTTCCCCGAAAAACAATTGCTCAACTCCTTGATTCTTCAGAGGTTTGTGATGTTTTTTATCTAACTATGCATAACATGTTACAACTCGGGTTACTAATGATTAAAATTTTAACTTAAAGGTTGGGAAAGCAAAGCTCATGTGCACAATCTTGGCTATTGATACGGACTGGGCATGGTACTATTTTGGTTGTCGTAAGTGCAATAAAATAGTTAGAAAGGTGCGAACAATAAAAGATTTGGGGGTAACACAGAAACCTAAATTCTGGTGTGACCATTGCAAAACAAGTGTCACCAATGTTGAAGCAAAGTATATCTACAATCTTCTTGATTTTTTAATAAGCTTTTCTACTCTTTAATGAGGTTACACGTTCTTCATATTTTTTGTTAATGTCTCAATAGATATAAGCTTCATGTGAAAGTTATGGATCACACAAATGAGATGAAGTGCTTGCTATTTGGGGGGGCTTGCGGAGGAAATAATTGAGAAGCCTGTCTCTGAACTACTCGATGGATCATTCGATGAGGTACAAAATCATTCCAAAAACAAAAAACGTTTTGCTTAAAAAAACTAACATGTTTCCTTCTTAAATAGATTGAAGATCCAACTAACGTGCCTGATGCAATCAAAAACATAATTGGAAAAACATTTGGATTTGGGATTTGTGTGGAGAAAGATAACCTCGATAATGACCACAATACCTATAAGGTTGGCAAGGTATTATCAGACAGCGAAATGGAGGAAGATGAAACTGTTGAAGCTTTAGAGCTTTCAGTAACCCCCTCGAAAATCATTTCTGGTGACCAGGTACGAGACTATTTTCAAGCTTATGTGATTTAAAAAAAAAAAAAAAAATTCGAGCAGCGTATAATCTAATTGTCTTATATTATATTTCTTAGGTTACACTCATGCTCACTGATAGCAAAGAAAGCTCGAATCTGGGTTGCCAAGTTTCACAAATAGTAAAGACAACTCAGAATCCAACGTGCCATGTCTAACTTACAGCAAAGAAAACTCAGCATCAGGCGTGACAAGTTTCACTACTCCAACTTCGAAGAGAAAAAACGAGGAAAATAGTGATCTTCTGGAAGATCAATCTTCCATTACGAAGAAGCAGTGCATCAAGTCAATTAAACTGGAGAACATTAAGGTTGAGAAGATTAACCCGCATTGAGGCTATGCGTGGGAAGACTAATGATGGGAAAGGAAAAAAAGTGATTCATTAGAAACAACTTCTTTTCTTTTTGGTTTTTGTTTTTGCAATCTCTATATTATTGAACTAATGTTTTCCTTCTCTATATTATCGAAGACTAATGTTGTCTTTTTCTTTTTGTGGCAACCACTATATTATTTCATTATTTTCCTTAACGTTATCTTTAATCTTCATTCCTTAATTGTTTGAATATTCTATAACGTTTTGATAGTTACACTTTTTAAGATTGATAAACGATATAAATTCTTAAGATCAATTAATTAACAGCAATAAAAATTAAACGATGATTGACTAAGTGTCGTTTGAGCAAAAGAATATCTAACTGACCTAATTCACAGAGATTTAATTACACTGCACTGTGTATAGTCAACGTATTCCGCTGACTAATCTCTATGCAGATTTAGTATAAAGATTTTACCTTATAAATAATACAGATTTAGCATAAAGTCTCTCCCAATAAATAATCAAACTAAATAAACATTCTATTTAGGAAATCAGTACTATTGTAAATATTTTCAATATATTTGGCTATCTTATTCATATTAATTACATATATTTTTATTCCATATCTTTGATTCACCAACTCTCTATTGTCACCGCACAATGGAAAACAAACACCTATTGTCCACTTTCTCAAAAAAAACAATACTATATCGCTTTGTGGCTCAATAACCCTAATAAAGCAATAACAGATTAGGGTGAATGTAAGTTATTCAGATCTCTACATTTGATCATTGTTTAAGTTACAGGGTTTAGCAGTTTAAATTAACTTCATCTACGAAATCATTCTATATTATGTAGGATGCATAACAAAGACGATGAAATTGGCAAAGGAATGAGTCATCCACCACAAAGTAAGAAAAGAAAACAACCTGTACCTACTACGATATCAGAAAACAGCATGTCTCAACGGGAGAAGATTAGGTGCACCAATAGGTCTAATGCCGTCAGTCTCAAATCGGTATTTAATAGAGTTCTTCAAGATATTACTAACTTGCATGGCCAAACAAGAGGACAATCACAGACTGCAGATAGTCCTGTACCATCAGCTATCGAAAACAAGAAATGTTTGACTGGTAAGAAACTCTACAAGTTTAAATATAAATCATATTAGTCATTGTCATGACATCGTATATACGCGGGATGAATTGAAATGATTTCCATTTTTAAAATTCAAGTGGTCTGATTTTTCAGGAATGAATAATAATAATCTGACCATCGATGATGCATTATCCAATCTCAGAAGGACTCAAACTAAATCACATGCTTTATGTAAGTACAGTTTATGGTTGCATGCTTATATTTTACTATTTGTGAACTCACATTATTCATTAATCACATATATGATTAGAATAATTTGACGCACAGATTTAGGTGCGTTTTTAATCATTCAATTATTAACTTCCTATATTGTACTCTTTACCAGCCTCTGAGAACATTTTCCCTAGACCGACATCATCCCAATTCAGCAAATCTATATCTCTGAGAACCAATGCTGATATTGTTCTGGAAAAAAGTAGAATCATACCTACTGAATTGATGCGGACCAAAACAAAACTATCAGGTGCGGAAAGATTAAATATCATTCTTTGTATAAACAATCATTACTCAACCAAATGTTTGGTAGATCAACTTAATACGTTATTTGTACCTGCAGGTACCAAAAGGAAATTTGGTACTGATATGCTAATCAAAACACAACCTTCATTTGGTAAGTACTTTGTGTTTTAATAATCATATTAAGTAGCCAGTTGTCAACTCATTTCTAAGATAACTATTTACAATAAGTATTATTGTAATCCAACTATTTAGGTTCTGTTGGGGACAAATTCACACAACAAAAAAGAATAAGAAATGAAGGTGATAGCTTGAATAAGACATTAGACTTTGACCAAGATTCAGAGAACTCAGAATGTCTTGATGAGTCCGAATGGTTTGATGAATCAGAAGGTAGTCACTTACTCAAGTTGTATTTTTCCGTTACTTAATGTTCACCATTCAACGTAATAAGATAATCTAACAAATTTTCTTCATGTTGCAAACAATGAAGAGTTGTACGACCAGATTTATGACTGTGTTAGCGGCGAAGAAGATACCTCTTCTGAGAAGTCCTATGATGATGAAGATCCTGGTCTTACAACTGAAGCGAGGACAAAATTTGATATCCTTCAAATGTTGGAGAAAAGTTTTAAAAAGGTTTTTGGTGGTTCTGATATATCTACTGCACAAGCATCAACAAGAAAAAGTGGTATGGTAGCCTAACAAATTAAATTTTACTTTACGTAACATATATTTCATCAAACAAGAACAAATTAACAACTGGGGATATTATTTGCAGATTATCATGATCAAGGTGATCCTGATTACATGTGCGACAACTGTGGTGCTATTATGTGGTACGATGAACGCATTAACAAGAACATAAATTCAAGAAACCCAATATTCACACTGTGTTGCTTACAAGGAACTATCAAATTGCCATTTCTAAAAACGGCACCAGATCTGTTGCAGAAATTGCTGAACAATGATGATGATCTTAGCAAACATTTTCGAGAGAATATAAGGATTTACAATATGATATTTGCATTTACTTCTCTTGGAGGGAAAGTAGAACGTTCTAGGGCTAAAGGACGTGGCCCGCAAATGTTTCAAATACAAGGAGCAAACTATCATTTGATGGGTAGTATGACGCCAGAAGATGGGGATTATCCAAAGTTTTCCCAACTTTACATTGTCGATACTAAAAATGAAGCCGACAATAGACAAACAATTCTAAGGTATTCAATATTTATTTGCCTCTTATTTCGTTTTAAAACTGTGTATAAACTAACCTATTATGCATCATTGTAGCAAGGGCAAGAATAATAAGGAAGTTGCTGGGAAAAGAAAACTGAAGAAGGAAATCATTGAAGCCATCATCAAAATGCTGGATGCCGTGAACCCATATGTTGAGACATTTAGGTCAGCCAGAGACAGATTTGAGTCTAAGGAAAACGAAAATGATACGTTCAAAATGAGGATTATTAGTGATCGCAAAGGGAAAGATGGAAGGACTTATAGCATGCCCACAGCATCTGAGGTTGCTGCACTGATCCCAGGTGATTTTCATCCTGACATGCCAAAGCGTGATATTATTCTTGAAGAGAGGTCTGGAAAGCTACAGAGGATTAGTGAAATACATCCCTCTTATTTGGCACTACAATATCCTTTACTCTTTCCTTATGGAGAAGATGGTTTTAGAGTTGGCATTGAAAAAGGATTTACAGGGCTGAAAGCCAAGAAGAAGAATAAGAAGATAAGTATGAGACAGTTTTTTGCATTTCGCATTCAAGAGAGAGAAAACGAGTGTCATACACTTCTTCGTTCTAAGCGTCTATTCCAGCAATTCTTGGTCGACGCTTACACTATGATGGAAACTAACAGACTTTCCTACATTAAATATAACCAGTCCAATTTGCGATCTGGGACTTACGATTCTCTTAAGGAAGCATCAATGAATGGAAACACCAATATGAGCGAGCAAGGGAAACGTTTTCTTATTCCAGCTTCTTTCTCTTATGGACCAAGGTATATGCAGCAGAGTTATTATGATGCAATGGCTACATGTAAGCAATTTGGTTTTCCAGACCTATTCATCACTTTTACATGTAATCCAAAGTGGTCTGAGATAACTAGATATCTCCAAAAGCGCAATTTAAAGTCCGAAGATAGACCTGACATTATATGTCGAATATTCAAGATGAAGCTAGACTCGCTCATGAAGGATTTAACCGAGAAAATTTTTTTTGGAAAGACTGTTTCAGGTTCGTAGATTAATATATCTAGTTTTATTCTTTTTCTGGTGAACTTTTAAAGTTATTCATAATTAATTGTGTGTTTTTTTATGTAATCAGCTATGTATACAGTTGAATTTCAAAAACAAGGTCTTCCACATGCTCATATCTTGCTATTCATGCATTCTAGCTGTAAGTTTCCCACCGCTGATGATATCAATAAGATAATTTGCGCTGAGATTCCAGATAAACGGAAAGAGCCAGAACTTTACGAAGTGGTTAAAGATTGTATGATCCATGGACCATGTGGTGCGGCTAATCCAAATTCTCCATGTATGGTGGATGGAAAATGTTCTAAATTTTACCCGAAGCCTTTTGTTGATATAACCTCAGTTGACAAAGGTGGATATCCAGCTTACAGAAGGCGTCGAACTACTTGCTTTGTTGAGAAAAATGGTGAAGTGTGATAATAGATATGTTGTCCCCTATAACAAGAAGCTCTCCGTTCGTTACAAGGCTCACATCAATGTGGAATGGTGTAACCAATCTGGTTCGATTAAATACTTATTTAAGTATATTAACAAAGGACCAGATTATCTTTCAGTCGTTGTTGAGCCGAGAAACACGAGTCAAGTAAGACAAAAAGGGATTGAAGATGCAAATGATAAGGAAAAACAAAAGAATGAAATCAAAGACTATTTCGATTGCAGGTTTGTTCCATTCTGATCCGTATAAATAATTTCTGCCTCTAAATTTACTAACAAAAAATATATTTGTTTCAAATCTTAAATTTTGTAGGTACGTATCAGCAATTGAAGCTGTGTACAGGATTTTCAAGTACCCATTAACGTTTCGAACAACCCCAGTTGAGAAGCTTTCTTTCCACTTACCAGGGAAGCAAATACTTTTTTTCAAGGATGATGACGATGTGGAAACTGTTTGAACCGGAAATCTATTGAAAATACACAGTTCTTGGCTTGGATGGAATTGAATAAGAAGGATTCATTTGCTAGGACGCTCACTTATCCACAAAT